CACCCAGTGATAAATGTAAATGTATTGTATACCTAAAATGTACCAATTAATATATAAATAAAAAAATTCTGTTGCACAAGCGCAAGGACCCGAGTTCGATCCCCTGTACCAAAAAAAAAAAAAAATCATCAAAGTATAAGTTTAATACATGTGTACATTCCTCTATACATATATATTATAGTTCCTAAAAGTCAAGCTGTATAAATAATAAATAAATCAACAACTACTACAGAAATAATTACTTGGGCTAATTCTGATCCAATCTTAAGTATCAAACTATGTATTGTGAATTGCCTATGAGAAATACTCCTAAAATTATCTGAAGGTACACTATAATTAACATTTTTCTCTCATTTTCATTATTCTCATAGGAAGGAAGTATTGTATCTAGTCAATCTCTTACAAAATATTATTTGCTATGAGAATTTATGGAGAAAAATGATATTAAAGGATATGGAGAGTTGGAGGAGAAAAATTACATAAGTGAATCTTAGAGTAATTTCTAGTATTTTTAAAAAAGATTTGTATTGATAGTTGGATTATTTAATGAATAAGAGTTCATATATCTAACAAATCAAATACCAAACATTCATATTTAATTAATTAGGATTTCAAGATTTAGACTCTATAACAAGCTTCACATATATTTCCTTCCTATTATTCCAATAAAATTCCAATTCTTTTCTTCAAGATTCAACAATGTTAACTCAATCATAACTCAAAATACTATTCATTTCTTAAAGTCAATCTGACTGCAGGGATAGCAGATAAAATATTCAGACAGTAAATTAAAATTATGGAATCATTTCTTTAAAATACCAGTTAAGCAATCTCTTAATAATTTTGAATACACTGATATTCTTAAAGCAATGCTTTGAGTATTTTCTCATTACTTATTTTGCATAACATGTGTAAAGAACAATGAAAATTTCAGAAGTACAATAAATATATTTGCCTAGGTCCTTACTAAATATATTGTCACTAGAAAATGCAGAATTAAGGGGTAAAGTAAAATGATCATTGGAGAATGACCTAGAGTGACCCAGAAATGTTCTAGTGTGAAAATTAAATATGTGAAGGAGCAAATTTTTTTTTGAGGTTCCCTAAGTCATGATTGATAATATATCTAAATTATCTGATTGATAATATAATTCCCTACATTCCAACCTTTTCATTCATTTTAGCTTCATCCTTACCTGGTTAACTTCTAGAGATTATCATTGTTATTCATTTCTCACCTGTTAGTTTCTGGCAAATTAAATTTTAAATATAAAACAACCCCTGCAAACTGCTCTGCCAAGTAAAGTAATTCATAATTTTTGTCAAGGTTCAAGGGAAGACACACTGGAATAGCCTGGAAAAAAAGAAGACAAAAGTGTATGTTATTGCTAGTTGTTTGTGTCAGGACATGTATCTCTCTCTGGTTCTAAATGGATCCTCTTTAATACACTAAAATAAATTAAGAATACTTCTCGTAAGAAGAAAGCAATATCTTTCATTTCCTTGTAAAGTCCAGGAATATGACCTCCTCCTGTGTTTTATTCAATGTGTACGACTTTTGAATTTTGGCTTTAATATTTCCTTTGCAAATCTCAATATTAAACAATTTTTTCTTCATGAATCAATATGTATGTCTTATAATGTCAGACATGATGCCTCCCCTAAATTGAATCTGAAAATTATTTTTATCTGGAGTTGGAAATAGATGTAAGTATTAATGTACCAATAAACAGCACCTCATGATACCCCCTCATTTAACAAAAACATATTATGAGCATAAATGTCCCATCTAGACCAGAAAAGGAATACTAAAAAATTTGGAAGGAATAAACAGGAGTTCAGATATCATCTTAGTCTCAAAAGAGTCTAAAAAAAAGTGATTTAAAGTCACCATACCTCTTATAAAGTACTTGTTTCCTAAAAGTGAAAATAAATATTAAAGTGAATAGTTTTTAAGAATAAGTTCTCTAGTACATATAAGGATATTTTGAGAGTACTTGTGTACATAGCTATATATTAAAATATAGGCCCAAATAAAATTTCATTTTCTTTTGGAATGGAATTTTACTAAAGCTTTTTCAAGGCAGATGCTAATATGTAACTACTGCAAATACTGAAATAATAAAGGATCACACTGTGAAAAATAATATTCACACAGCACGACATTTTAAATAAGTAGCACCAAAGTTACTACACATACTAATTGCCTTAAATTTATCTTTCTTCAGCAAGTACGTAGCATGATATCGAATGTTCTATTTTTCTGGGGATAGACAACTTTGTCTTGGTAATATATAAAGAGGTATATGTATACACTGTGTTAAAACATTATTTAGGAATTTAAAAAAATAACCTGTCACATTATCATATATGATTTCACCTTCACATATTAACAAAAAGGATCACTACAGATCCTTATTTTTTTAAAAAGTTTTGGATGTTGAATTGTTTATTTCAATGAGGTAAAAGCTAAAACCTACCTCCAAAATTCAACTGAATTCCTGGGGAAATTCTGCCTTATATCTGAATACTAAAAACATGTTTGGGAGACACAGATTAACAAAATTGGTCTCTGGATTTTGATGTATGTACCACCCACTAAATCCTATTTTATCAAAGTTGTTCACACCTAAAAATTTATAAGTACTCTTACAAGTATTAGCACGCCTTAGGTGTAATCAATCTTGTCAGAGTGGAATACGGGAAAGAAGTCACCAGAAAATGCTTTCAATAAACTTTCTATGTAAGATTTTTTTTTTAACAAAGAAAATTAACCTCAATTTTTCTTGGTTTCTTAAACAAGCATACACACTGCATTTTGTAAATGTACAAGCTATATATGAATACTTTCTAAACTGTTATCCTATAACCCTTTTCTTAACCTAGCCACTAATGATTCCCGATTTGTATGATTTACTGGATCTACATTTTGACATACAGTCTGTTTGGTGCTATAGCAATTAATATAAAATATCTGTATTTTTTAATTCATTTCAGCTATGTACAAATAAGTGCATGGATCTACCATTTCAGAAAAGAGGTAAGAAGTTCAGCATCGTAAAATGTTTACCTCACAGCTCTTCTGATCTTGGCCAAGTTTGAATCCTTTCTTCCCATCACAGTAACAAGAATATCCTCCGGGATAATTGATACAAAGTTGAGCACACATATTCTCAGAACATTCATCTATATCTGGGATAATAAAGAACATAAAGCTTACTATATCACAATATTCAATCCAACTGGCAAAAGAGTATTCTATTTTATTAATAAGATAATGAAAATAAATCCATAGGGAAGATAATTATACAACATCAAGTCATATTTAAGCTCATGAAATTTGAAATGAGTTACAAATGTACCTTTTATTTATACATTTGAATCAAATTTATAACTTAGTAATTAATGGCAGTGCAACAATTCTGTTAAATTTTTATTTTGAATTTGAAGAAAAAATGATTGAATATTTCAACTTAAATGCTATTTCTGGTTGTATGAATTTACTTGAGACTACTTCCCAATTCTTTGCTTTAAAAAAAAAAAGAGGAGAGGGAGGGAGAGAAGGAGAGAGAGAAAGAGAGAGAGAGAGAGAGAGGGAGAAATGGGAAAGGGAAGAGGAAGAGGAGGAGAAAACGTAGAGAATAAAGGGAAAGGAAAGGAAAAATAGGAAAAGGGAAGAAAAAAAGCCTTTTAACTAACTGAAAATGCATTGGGGGTTTAAATCACAGTATCAAAAACATCTGATTTCTCATTGTAATAATTAATGGTGGCAATAAACTTAAGGACATAGTTAATCTCTTCTTATCTTTTCTTGATTTAAATCTCACTGTGATATTACCTCCCATATTGTGAAATCTATTGGGTCCTTATCCGTATCCTACATTTTGAGAAAATCAAACTTAAAAATTTTGCTTAAGTTTAAATCCATTTCAGAACTGCATAAAATCCTTAACATTTTCATTGGATCCACTCTTGTGATCTCTGAAAATCTGCAAATTCATTATCTCATGTAAGTTCTCATTAAAGTCTTCAAAATTAATCCCTGAAGTTAGTGATCCCTCAAATGCATTGAAATTGTATGGTGCATGATTAATTTTAGATGTATATAGTCATATGTAAATTTTTCAAAATAATTTTTCAAAATCTGTCACTCATTGAATAAAATTGCAGTGTAGGTGCTGAAGTTGGCTTATGATAAATCTGTACCTTTCTAGAGTGTACCACAGTATTTGCTACCTGGAGTAGTATGAGAGTAGAAATGGTATATATGGGGGGTAGGAGGAGTAAAGGAGCAGGTAAGACATGAACATTTCAAAAGGAGTGCATATAGTTGGAGAAAGTCTATTCTAAAATTATTACTGATTTAGGCAAATGCACAGAGACACAAAAGTAGATTAGAGGCTACCAGAAGATCACTTAGAATGAAGTAACTAACAAAATGGAATATATGGCATAAAAGTCGCAGAGTTTATGGCTGGGGTGATAAAAAAAAAGTTTTGGAAACAGGTGATGGCTGCACAACAGTGTGAATGTAATTAGTGCCACTGAACTATACCATTAAAATTAGTTATAAGGGTAATTATGTGTTATATATATTTTTACACAATAGAAAAATTATTGGTTTTTGGTTTGATTAAATTCATTTTGAAATTTTAAAACACTTAAAGGGAAGCATGAAATACTTTGTATATAAAAAAATAAATGCCTCTAACACATTGGAGCTACCTGAGGACTCCATGGCACACCAATGCAGCTCATGGTGAGAACAGCACCTCCAAGACTGATTACTGATCAATATCTTTCAACTTTCTGGAGCTTGGTTATGATTTGCTCAAACTTATTCAAGCTCCTGTCTTTCTTTTTTATGTATGTGTTTTTGCTTTCAGAATGTAATTTTCATTGTCTCTGAATGTTACTTCAGTGATGTGAACATGTGTTTATCTTCCTTTAATTACACTTGGAGCTATCCAAATTACATGAAAAATAAAAGCCTAATGAGTGCACTCACACTAAATTCAAATGCCATTTGTTTTCAATACTTTTACTGTGAAAGGCAGCTAGTGATTATCAAATTGATCAAGGTATATCAAAGATTAGAAAATATGACTGTTGGTGTCAAACAAAACCAATGTTGCTAAATAACTAAGGGTTCAAACACCGGCCTCTCCAGCATCAGCAGTTACACTAGTATCACTATACCTGTACAAGCCTCTGCTTTGGGATTGTATCTGTAGCCTTCAGGGCATTCACATTCATACTCTCCTGGGGTGTTCTTGCACACAGCTTTGCCACAAACATTTGGCTTCCTAGAACATTCATCCACATCTATAAATAAAATCAATGTAATTTAAAATTTTTCCAATATCAGTAGATTCTAGCAAAGAACACTATTCCTATTTCATGGACTGTACTCATTATATATGAGATATTATACTAGCCTTGGAACAACAAAATACTAAATGTAGTATCTTATTTAAGTTCACTAAATATTATTTCTCTACATAAATACATAGAAAGCTCAATTGATGCTCACCATTTCCTTTTATCACCATAACAAAAGAGGGCTCCAGTGATTTTTTCAATTACCAGGTTAGAGTATGAAAACAAATGGAAGAAGAAATTCAACTACATTCTTAATATTATTTAAGTGTAGTTCCAAACACGTGTTTCTGAAATATGGTCTTAAAAGTATACTCTCTTCTTATTATCACACCACAAAATGAGAAGACTCATCTGCTTTACCCTGTTTCTTTGGAAACGCCATTATACCTGCCTCTCCATCAAGACTTCAGTTCACATCTCTAATCTGTTCATTATTAGTGCTGCCTAAAGTATTGAAGAGTAATTCATATTTAAAATGAAATTAAGGTCACAAAGTATTTATATAGCCACAGCTATTCCAATATATATTTTAGTGATAGATTAATACTCCAAAACAGTGAGATGCATTTATTATATTACATAATGGAGAAGGAGACAAAGTATTCATTACAACCAGCTGCTAGATAAGCACTTATAAGGGAAAAAACAAATGATAGAAATAATTGAAGGAAAATGTAATTAGTAATGAACATTTCTCATCTGTACTCAGATGAGAAAGACTAATTCAGAATAGAAAATATATCTTCTACTCTAAAAAAACTGGCAGGGCTTTTTCCCCACAGATGAATAGCCAAATTTTCAGACATTATTTTGTTTAATATAATTTGTACAAAACTAATGGAACCAATCCTTTGTGATGAGGGAGTTTTTCTGTATCTTGACTGTACCACTGTCAATATTGTGAATGTGGTATTGTACAATAAATTCATTAAATGCTACCAATGAAGAAAACCAGGTAAAGGTTACCTGTGATTTCTCTACATTGCTTCTTACAACTTAAAGTGACTAATGCACGCAAAGTAAAATTTCAATTTTTAAAAAATAATTATAAAATCTGTATTTTTCTGGCTTAAGGAATATTGCAGAGAAATACATAGATCATATGAATTTAGCTAATAATAAATTGATTTTTATGGCTCTACACTGACATCTAATGTCTGATGAAAAATTTTATTCTTTTGACAATTACTGGCAACTTGATCCCTTGCATATCCACATCTTGGCAAATGTCCCATTGTAATAATTTTAAACATATTTTTCTAAAAGATCTGTTCTTTATTATTTATGTATCATGGTTAAAAGACTATGTAAATGAAGAATATAAGAACATATGTTCTGGTCACCAGGGACATTCTTATTTTACAGGGATTTTTTGTAATTATATATGTGTGTATTATAAGGAAGAAAGATTAAACATTTTTAAATTTTAAAACCTCATAATTTTTTTAGAAGGACAGACTATTCAAGCATTTAAATGTAGAAATCAGAATGGGTATTATCTATGTATGTAATGCATATGGTATCAATAATGATAATGGTTTTCTACAACCGGTACTCAAATGATCCAATTATTCTAAATACTCAAACTTATATCTTCAGATAGCCAGATAAGAAAGATTCATGGTCACTAAAAGGATAATGGTTTAGAAAAAAATGTTAGTAAATAAAGTTCATTTCAGAGTCATTTAACTGTACTTTAGAATTATAGTAAACAATTGAATAGTGAACAAAATGATGCAGTAAAGGACAGACCCACTCCTTGAATATATGTCCAATTTAGTGATGTACTAAAATAGATATAAAGGATTGATCAAGGACTTTACATTTCAATTTACTGAACTTTTTAACCTCTTAGCACAATAAATGGGAGTGGGCTGGGGTGAAGAAGATAAGAAGAACAGGAAGAAGATAGAAGGAAAAGTACACGAAGTGTTTCCAGTTTCTAAATGAAAAATTTAATCCCAGGCTGGAAAATTTTGTGTCTAGTTATCTACAGACATAGCATGGATATGTGAAGAAGTGTTACAGCAATTAAAGTAGCCAAACAGAAAAGACAGTAGACAAAGAGGAAAAAGTCAAAATCTGGGGTCAGGGAAACAGAAAAACAAAGAAATATGCTAATAAAATCACTTGGTAAAATGCTAAACTGACAGGGATCATGTAAATCTGAAGAAAACAAAAAAGAATATGACATGATAATGTCATTGTAAGTGTACAATGAGGAAGAAAACCAAATCTTCATCTTTCCAAAAACCACAATAGAAAATGAAGTACAAATGAAGGGCTTACACTGGAAATCAAAAAGATATTTCTGAAAATGAAAAAAGGTTGAGACTTGTGGTGAATTTCTTTATACAGCTGTTCATCTTATTAGAAGAAAATAATATAAGGTAATATCTGAAAACAAAGCATAAACAATGTTTTTGCAAAATCTGTAGCATGCAAAGACATACACTGAAACTTCACTTTATAATAAAATTCTGTATTTATATTTATCTACAACAAAGTGCTTTATTGAAACATTCACATGTACTGCCTCCCACACATATAATGGGCAAACCATAAAACACTTTTGTTAGTATTGTAAAACAAAAGACAGTCTCCTTGTATCTATCAGAAGGCTTCAGAGTGAATAAAAATGTATGTTATTATAAACACTTTTAATAGGGTGTTCCAGGAATTTCTGGGGAAATTCCTCTAAGTGAATTTGGTTCTCACCCAGTAATTACAGTTTTATTTTAATTTATTTTATTCTATTCTATTTCTTATTCTTACCTCTGCAGTCTTTTTTATTTGAAACCAAATCAAAACCACTTCTACAGGAACAATGGTAACTTCCAGGTGTATTACCACAAATCTGGCTGCAACCTCCATTTACATTTAAGGGATCTTTGCATTCATTTATATCTAAAAAAAAGAAAATCAATTATTTTTAAAGTAATGTAAGCCTCAGAGAACTTTTCATATGGCCAATCCAGATGAGTCAGGTGGTTTGATTATACATACCAAATTCACACATCCTTCCTTCCCAGCCTGGTTTACAAATGCAAGTGAATGTAGCTTGGCCATCTTTGCAGCTCATATACCCATCTTTGTTGCATGGTAGAGGATTACACTGGTCTGGAATAGCTGAAGGAAATAGACACCTATTTAATTTTTACTTCATGCTTTGGTAAAATAATATTATTTGTCCTTTAATGAAATTTTTTTACATAAAGCCTGTAACCCATGAAAAAAATTGACTCCTTCCTTCAAATAACTTTTTTCATTAAATGTGAATCTATTAATGTTTATAATTATTTTATAAAAGGCCACTACTTTTACATTTTAAGTATATGCAATACTTTATAATCATAATGGAGAATTTTTTGAAACATTAATTTATTTGAAATTTAAAACAATTTCATGAGTAAAACACATGAATCAAACTTAAAAAATCACTCGGGACTTCCAACCTGGGTTATGATGGAGTAAATGGAATCATTACCCTCTTGCCTTAAGTAAGTGGAACTCTGGCAAAAATACACAAAATAATGGTTTTCAAACACTGGAGAAAAACTGTGATGCCTAAGGGAAAGGAATAAACATTATGGGCCTTACAGTTGTACCATGTCACTGCCTGGAGACCATATTGGTGCAACAGTGCACAACTCAGGTAGAGGCCAAAGCTCTCCTCAGGTTACAAAGACAAACATTGAAGTTTGAGAAGCTCAAACTAGAATTTTGCTAGTCAGAAGATACTGAAAGCAGGGAAGGATTGTGTGGAGGGAGGATAGAGAGAAAGATACTGGCTGCAGAGATCTAAGGTTTATGGTTGAATAATGATTTGCACAGGACAGCTTCCAAACTTCACACTGGACTATGAATGGTTCATTGTAAACTGGCCAGGCTGACAATATTTTATGATACAGAAAACATCAGATAGAAACCTCACAAGATTATAGTCCTCTTATTAGAGATAAATTAGTTTTAAATAAATTAATGGTGCACCAGACTACCCTAATCCACTTTAGAATCAAACCACAAAAAGTTGTTTTTACTTTCTCCAACTTATTTAGCTAAGCACCAGTCCAAAGTCTCTGTTTGGAAGAAGACAACAAAATCCACAACAAATGAAGTCTGCTTATCTCAGGAAATACAGTATCTTCCATCCACTGTCTAAAATCTGTTGCTCTATATAGTTGACCAGTTCATTTATTTAAGGCAGAAAAGTAAATGTAGTCCCAGTTATTACACCTTAATTCACATTAGAAGTGGTACTTTTTCCTACTGGTACTTTGATTAGTATTGTTTGTTCTGTCCATTACACAATTAAAAATAACCAGCACAAAACCATTATTTCATGTATTTTTACATAAAGCCTGTAACCCATGAAAAAAATTATGACTTCTTCCTTCAAATACTTTTTTCATTAAATGTGAATCTATTAATGTTTATAATTATTTAATAAAGGGACACTACTTTTACATTTTAAGTATATGCAATACTTTATAATCATAATGGAGAATTTTTTGAAATGCATTAATTTATTTGAAATTTAAAACAAAAATATGACCCAGAAACAGAAAAAATCCACTGACAGGAAGATATCTAGAAATGAAAGAAATGATACAATAAGCAGAAAAATAAATTAATGTAGCTATTATAAGTGTACTCTATTCTAGAAAACACAAGCATGTAAAGAATATATCTATGATGTGTAAAAGACTCAAATGTGACTTAGACATGAAAAGTACAAAATGTGAAATGAAAAGTACATGAAATAGGATTACAAGTAAACCACATGGCAAAAGGAAAATAAACTTTAAACGACCCAAAGTATATAAAATGAGGAAAATATAAATAAAAACAACTAAAAAAAAATGAACTAGAGTATCAGTAACTTGATGGACAATATAAAATGGTCTAAAATATGTGTTACTAAAGTCCCACAGTAAGGAGAAATAGCTGGGGAAAAGAAAAAAAAAATCCGTAATTTTGAAAAATTTTGTTCTAAATTAGATAAAAACTATAAAGCTATAGATCAAAGTAACTCAATGAAATCCAAGTAGAATAAGGCTAAAATTACAATTTCAATTTGAATGAAAACCATTGAAAAAATAAATAATAGGGCTGGGGATTCAGTTCAGTGGCACCATCCCTGCCTTGCAAGCGCAAGGTCCTGAGTTTGATCCCCTGCACCAAATAAAAAAATAAATAAAAGAAGTAGATGAAAATATATGATGTATATATAGGAGATACATTCAGCAATGACAGCAGATTTCTCATCAGAATCTATTTAAGCAAGAGAACAATAGAGAAATATCTTCAATGTATTAAAAGAATATTACTGTCATCATGGAAGGCTTTACCTAATGAAACTACATCCCAAAAATAAGGGCAATACAGGATTTGGGGAGAAACAAAAAAAACCCTGAAAAAATCTATCTCCATCAGATATGTGCTAAAAGAAAATATGAATAGAAGTTCTTCAGACAGTATGAAAATGTTATCATATAGATATCTGGATCTATACAAAAAATTGGGTGCCAGAAATCATACATATGTGAAAAAATATAAACGAATATTTTCTCATTTGTTAATATATTTATAAATTGATGTATTATGCATTTTGTATGTGCAACATTGAGGAAGAAAGAGCATAAAAGCTAGAGGAAATAAAATTTTATTGTAAGCTTCTTATGCTGTACATGTAGTATTTTAATTTAGTGTAGAATTTTTTAAATTACAGATTTATATTATAAATTCCAAGTGAACTAGCAAAAAATTAAGAAAGTATAGTTAATAAGCAAATGGTGGAAATAAAATGGATCAACCATCTTAAAGAAACAATCCACAGAACTGCAGGAGGGATAGGAAACAACCAAAAGCAGATGGGATCGGTAAATTTATACCCAACCTTATAACTGGCTCCATTAAATGTAAATGGCCTATGGCCTAACACTGCCATTAAAAACAGATAATTGGAATCACACCGCTGCAGACAGGCAGGTCTGACCATGCCCTAGCAAGGTCCTGAGTCGCACAGAACACGCCTAATCGTCCCACTGCAGACGGGCAGGTCTGTGCATGCCCTGCCGAGGTCCTGAGTCACGTGGAAGACGCCTAATCACCCCGCTGCAGACAGGCAGGTCTGCCCACACCTCACCAAGGTCCCCAGTCAAGCAGAACACACGCCGAATCAGCCCACTGCAGACAGGCAGGTCTGTGCATGCCCTACTGAGGTACTGAGTCACGCAGAAGACACCAGGTCACCCCTCTGCAGACAGGCAGCCACCTGATTCCACAATATAAAGATGCAGAGGACACCAGACCACCAGACCAAGGTACTGAGTCCCACTGTTCCGGGCCTAGAGGTAGGGGCTTCTGAGCCGTTGTCCCACTGCTCCTGGTCCAGAGGAAGGGGCTTCCCGGTCACCATCCCTCCC